CCAGTCTCTTTGATGTTTGGTTTAGACATGTTTCTCTGTAAAGACCTGTATAAACTGAACACTTCTGTAAACTGAAATGTTCTCAGTTCTTTGGTGTTTTGTCTTGAAAGTGTTTTTTCTCTAATACCTGTATAACACCTTTATAGTCTGAACACTTTTCTTTGCCTCTTTGGTGTTTTGTTTAAATAGGTTTCAACCTGTGTGAACACCTCTGTTAAAAGAAATCATTTCTTTGTTTGACAGTTTTGTGAGACCTGTATAAACTGAACACCTCTGTAAACTGACCACTTTTCTCATACTTTTCGTCTTCAGTTTAGACAGATTTCATTGTACAGGGAAATAAAAAAAACATGGACAAATCTATACACAGTGTCGTTTTCCAATTACATGTAATTACACGAGTATAATTTCCTGTCCTTGAGTTCCCAGATTATATCACTAGAATATTCACTGCGGCGTAATCTTTTAATTTCCTTCCAATCTTCCACAGCAACAACGACGTCTAGATCTTCTTACCATCACATCACCAGGTAAGGTCAATTTAAAGTCATACTGCCGCAACCCTATAGCGTTTGCAACCTTGTGATTACTGTTACTGTGTGCTAGCTACTTCTCTCGTCCATCCCCAGATGGCTTCTTTAATTCTCTTAGAAGCTTTACTACTATTTATAGAATGAATTATTTTAGTATTTAAGTTACACTTTCACCTAAGTTCAGTCTCCCATTCAGGGTTATAAGTCTGAAAATGATGACTTGTCTCCTCCCATCCATTAAGCTTTGTATCTCAAACTTGGCATATTATATGGTTATTTCAAGGATATACGCAAAGGGGAACAGTATAGCGAAACAGAATAAAGACTTGTGTATAGCGGAGGTCGATAAATCAGCGTACTGTCGTAATCCGGTAATGCACGTCTGCTAGGTCAGAATTTGATATTGAAATTACAAAAAGTCAACAAAATAGTATTGATTGCTGGATGCCAGAACAAAGCCAAAATTATTTAAATGCCACAACAGAACTGTATATCATTATTAAAAAAGTTTTCCTTACACTGTCACTAAAAACTGAATGTGAACTTTGTCATTGACAATGACTTGTTTATTTTAATTTTAAACATGAAAATATGATTTGATTTGTAGATAACTTGGATCCTGAGATTGTGAAAAGAGTTATTTTCATCACTGCTAGGGTCCATCCTGGAGAAACTCCTGCTTCGTTCGTCTGTCAAGGTTCGTTTCTATTGAGTTTACAGTATTCCATCCAATTTTTGATGTGTACACAATTCTCACAAATTATTTTTTGGGGTATCATGTCCATGCAAGATTTGTGACTTTTGTTGGCCCTAAATTATAGATAACTGTCTTTCTTTTCTGATCTGTAAACTTGAAATGACATAATTAAAATTCTCTAAAAACATGATATGTAATTTCCAAGTATCGAACATTTGGAAATATAAATTTTTCAACATGACTTCATATAATCTGTTTCTATCATAGGTATCATTGATTTCTTGGTCAGTAATCATCCGATAGCTAAAGTTTTGAGAGACCACATAGTGTTCAAGATCATACCAATGTTGAATCCAGATGGTGTATATCTGGGAAATTATAGGTGAGTGTGCTAGGTCATACTATTGTTACAGAGTATTGAAAGGAATTAAATTGGATATACATAACAAGGACAATGCAAATCCAGGATAAAAATATTAATGCAAAACAAGCTACATACAATGTACATTGCGCTAGTCACTGTATTTGCCTACATAATCCATTTAATTTCTGCTGCTACAAATTTCAGAGATGCTGAATTGTTCGAGTCACGGACATCAAGTTATGAACATCAAGTTATGAAAACATTGAGTTACAAAAATCACCATGCTCATATTTCATAAACCACGCCCACTTTTGTGAAATCGCACCCAAATTATAACTCAATGTCCAATTAACAATTAACAGAACTTTGAGTTACGAACAACGAAACAAAAATTCTATGTTGTCCGTAACAGTTCGGTTAACTGTTAATTCAAGTTTGAGTTACTAAATTCAACAAAAACAAAATTATAGGTTACTCATAACTCAAAGTTCTGTTAACAGTTAATTGAATCAAGTTACAATTTGGACGTGGTTTTGCAAAAGTGGGCATGGTTTATGAACTATGGTTCGTAACACAATGTTCGTAACTTGATGTCTGTAACTAGAACAATATATTCAGCATCTCCAAATTTCATGAATTGATAATTTAATTGTGTTCTTGACAACAAAATTTTCATTAGGACCCCACTGCTACAGAATTCAGGATAATACATTTCAAATTATAGCAGTTTACATTCATTGTTCATTGTAAGCTGGTTGCATAAAACCTTGTAACAGAGTGCCTGATCTACTTGAATGAAACAATTATTAAAAATATTTTTAAAAAGATAATTCCATACATTTATTAGCAAAATTTTTGAGGCAGAATTTCCAAACATGTTTTAATGGACTCGCAGCTAAACAACGTTGACATGATTCTGACAACACTTTCAGGTGAATCAAAAGTTCATTGATCCCAGTTTGCACAGATGTCTCATAAACTGGTCATGTGTCACTTCTTTTGTACTGCACAACAGAGTCAACGCGGAATGTTTTTTAAAAAAAGTGTCCACCTTGGATTGCTTGTTGAGAAATGAAAATTCAATAAACCCATCAGTACATTACAATCTTGTTATATTTTGAATAGACCCGTCAAACATATAGTAGTCCCTACCTCAACTCACTACGATCTATTTCTGACAACTTTTTCCAAGAAAATAACTGTTAATATCCTCCTTTGTATTCCTACAAGAACTGAGTGGCCAAGGGAATTGTGTTCATTCTCTGTGAACAGTCACAATATTGACTAGTGCAATGGATACTGATACACACCACAGTTGATGAAATTAACTGTATTATAAAAAGGTTTCCACTCTAATTGCTTAGCTACTATATGCACCAAAATGGAAGGGGGGGGTCAAATTGATTCCTTTGAAGTCATTAGGAATGTGCAGTTTTTCACAGATTACATAGATATTTTATAACAAACATGTTGATCAAGTATTCAGGTTACATTTGACATTTACAAAATGATCATAAAATTTGGAAAGCCTTTTTTTTCACACACAGTGAAGCAAACATAATATAATATATAACATCCAAACGACTTTTAGCAGTATGGTATGTGTGCTCTTAATATTGAAGCAATATACTCTTAATTAATATTTGCTTGAAATTTTTTTTTTGCCATTAACATTTCACTATAGAAACGATTTCACACAAAGCAAATAAGTGAGTCCCTACAACATATTATTATTATTATTTATTTGCATAAGACCGTACAAAAAAAATCATGTACAAGTTTTTTTCAGAATTTGCCAAAAAGTATGAATGGTTGTACTTGTCTTGAACATCTTTGAAACCATGACAAAATGCATAAACTTCAAATAAAATATTGCAAACATTGAAACAAGCTATCATCAGCAGTGAACAATGGCTATGAGGGTGGTTGGTGAACACACAGTCAGCTCTGGATTTAAGATCTTTGTGAGAATCTCACAGTGCTGCCATTCGTCAACTGATTTTTTGAAACAATTCCAAAAAACAAAAATTTCAAAATGCAATCTGGCAGGTGCGAGCGAGTTTGATTAACAAGAATTTTTTTTTATGTCCTGCCTCAAATTAAAATGTGCAACATCAGACATCTTGGAATCTTTCCAACAACATTTTTATTTGTTACATCTACATACATGTATTGGATACTGCTCTGATTACTTGAGTGCCTTCCGTTATGTCAGGGACTTCCTTAAATTTTGACTTACAGAGTCTTATCAAAGTTCACCTTTGACAAAATTAACCTGTGTACATTTTACACAGGAAAAACAGAAGCTGGCAGTAACAATGATTCAATCTATTTCAAATTTAATCGGAAATACATGTATAAAGAATGAAATCTGAAAACAATGTTGAGTAACTTTATTCCAGAAAAAAAAAAGAAGAAGAAAAAAAGTCATGCTCGAAACTTGAAAGAAAAAAATATTTTGCATTGTGCCCTAGCTGCGACCCCCATCCTGGAATTTTCAATGTTCACCTTTTAATTTATGCATCTCATCTGTGTCTAAGTGGTGACAAAACATGGCAAATACAGCTTTTTTTCTGCTCGTAACCTAGCAACAGAATCTCCCAAAAATGTGCTGAAAGTGTAAGCATCAAAATGATCATTTTGGAATAGCTTGAAATGTTGAGATAGTTGTAAATTCAATAATGCCAACAAGCTAACATGCATCGACATATGGATGCTTGTATCCCACTTAAAGATTTCTATGTTTGTCGTTTTTTCCTGTACATATTCTTTCAGTGAAGTCAGCATATCTACTCAGGTGGCTTGAAAAGTGAAACGAACACTGTTTGGATAATTAGCTTTGTATTGATTAGAACACAGGAACTCATGAAATGAATGACAATTATCTTATTATAGTTCGATTGTAATTAGCTTCGTCATTACCACGGTCTGATTACCTCTACAGTAATAAGTACTTTATTCTCATTTGGAGTCCAAAATACTTGATTAACCCTAGTGGTTTGATCTGATAATGCTTTTGGTATTAGTGTCACATCAGCTTTAGTCTTAAATATTGTATAATTGTAGCACAATGTAGGTTGTATTTGTGATTCTAACAGTTGTTACCATTTTCTTGATTATGGCAGTAATTCATGGGGAAAAACACAATGTCATGGTTTTCTATTATTGACACTTTGTTTTTTACATATTGGTCGTCTGAAATTTTCATGATTAGACAATTTGAGGGTATCACAAAAATCACAGATTTTTTTGTCTCATGAATTTGTCACAGAATTTGTGTTGTAATCTACATATGGATTTCTTAGTTACCTTGTTATTTTCCCAGCTATTACAGTACACACATGTAATTATTACCTTGCCTTTAATGATATTGAAATGGCAAAGTGTTGGGGTTATCATGTCTGTAGTTGTCAACTAAAGTAATTTTTGTCCACTTGTACTAAAACTTGTATATATAATCACAGTTCATTTCAAATTTTTTATGACTGACTTATATTTTACAACTCATCATCAGCTTGTCAGATTATTTCACAACATACAAAAAAATCAGACAGTTTTGTAGCAATAAGCATTTAATTTCAGTTACTTTCATGAAATTTCATTCCTGAGAATCATTGCAAATTATTATTCAAAAAGTTAATTTTGGCAGGAAAAAACATGAATCAGTGAGTGAAAATAGTAGAAATAGACATTGTGAAATCTGAAAGATGTGATTCGAAAACTAAAAACTGACTGACTTTCCAATGAAAATAACTAATGTACCCACAATGAACTTGCATATACTTAAGTAAAGATAATATAATGATTAAATCTTATTAAATTTCACACACAAATGAGAAAGTTTTAAACCTTGGATCTAAAACATGGATAACAATGAAATTGTAAACCTTTTAGATAATCTTTCGGTTTCAACTTAATTGACAGCTGACATAATCTCTTGGAAAGAGTGGAATGTCTGGTATCACACCTTGACATTGTGGGAGTTATACTGTATTCAGTTCAGATATATCTGTCTGTCTCTTGATTTTAATTATTATTAATGTCATGCCATCATTTTCTTGCCAAGATGATGTTTTTATAATGATGGTATCCAGTTTTGGATCTTAGCCAAGTTTGAGTTTGGTATGTGTTCTTTGTATATTTTTCAAGATTTTGATTAAATTTATCTTATAATTGTCTTCTTCTCATGGTTACATTAACAATTTTTATATGTTTATCTTCAAGTTTGGAAATCATATCCGTCACTATGAAATGTGAACCAATTTAAATTTTTGTGTGACCAGCAAGTGCAATTTGTAAAACCCAGATAACAGTATCTCTAGCAAGATGTGGCTCTTAAGACTTTGTGTACACTAAATGTAAACAAGTTGTTTACTTTACACTCAGGAAGTGTGTGCACATCCTATAATTACAGCCATAATCTGCACACAAAGAAATCCAAACCTTGAGATTTTTAAATCTGTATCAATCTTAATGCATATGAATATCGGATTCCTTCCCAGGACAAAAACGTTTTTTTTTTTTTTTTTTTTTTTACTCAACCTATCAATACAGGTCCATCTTAATATGGTAATCACTCTTTATTTTAGGCACAAAGTTTCCCACTCCAGAAAAATTATCAAAATGATAAAAAGCTGAAGAAAGAAAAACAAATTAATTGTACCGGTATCATTCATTATTATTAAAAAAAAACAATGAAATAAAAAATTTGTTTCACGTATAAATTTATCAATTGATCTATCCATGGAGGATATCCATAGTATTTACTTGCTTATTTTATTCTGTGCAATTGACATGTAAAGTGAAAACCAAGGATGTTGTTCCTGAGAACTAATTTCCTGCAATACTTGAGTTCCCTGAGATCTCCTTCACAGAGGGGAAACTAAGTTAACGCTAACAGACAAATGCATGAATAGACAGATTTAATATCAGCAATCACTGTGCCTATTTGTGTAGTTTATCGCCCCAAAAGACTACAGATTAATGTAATTCAACAACACTTGACACTGATTGCTTGGATAAATTAACACTTATTTATGATTACCAAAGCAATTGAAAATTAAAATTAGGCCTGACCGTTACATTTGCATGCTCATTACCGGTAGTAATTCTATTGTTTTTTGTTGCAAACAATAGACAGATTATAAATGAGCATGCATTGTAAGACTTGGAGTTCATTTTAATTTTATTCATCTGTGTTACTTTGATTGCAATGTTGCACCTGGATCTTCCTGAACATAAAAGAAATACTATGGTGTGCTTTATTTTAATAATAATAAAACAAATAAAAGGACTAATAAGTGGACACATTCTCTAAATTGAGCTGTCTCAAAACAGTCAATTGAATTAGTAAATTATGAGTCAATGTGAATATTCTTATGAACAAGAAAACTGAGAGCTTGAATGCAGTATTGTGTATGATAAATTGTATTTATTGAAAGAAAAATTTTTCTTTGAAAGTTTCATAGTTTTCACACTTGGTTTGTAGAGTATCTGACTGTCCAATGATAAGTAGCTCAGTTTCTATCTTAACATTAAAACTAAGCTTTAATTAAGGAAAGGTAATTAGTGGGTGAGCTATTAACAAATGCAATCCTCTTTACCCTGACTGTTGTTTTTGGAATTGCATAATTAGAATATATTTTGAGGTATTTTTTTCTTGTTAATGTTATCTCTAAAAATTTCATCAAAATTGTATAATAAGGTGCTATCATTTTAACTGATAAAAGTTCGTGATTATTGACACCCCCCCCCCCTCCCAATGAAAAATATTAAAAATTTTGTATTAGTCTCTGATGAAATTAAAATTGCACAATCTTGTGACCTCTGTAGTTACAGGGTGACCAATAGAAATGTGAACATGTTTTTGTAGGGGGCAAAAAAATTACAAAAAAGAAGTTACATTTTTCAAAAAATTGCATTTGATAGTAGAAAGCCCAAACCATTTTTTTAGATGGCACCAATTATGAAGGCCAAATGGGGTAATAGGGTAAAGGAATATTATTGGAAATATCAGTATTATTCAAAAGACACCAAGGCAAAGTCTTTGGCAAGTATATGCAATTGACTTTGATGTTCCGTTCAAGATCAAACAAAATATCATCCTCAACTAAAAATCTACCTCAGTTATTCTACCAGCTCCCCGGAGTTTCAACCACTTACTGTGAAAGCTCCTGGATTTAGAAGAGTGATATAATGTAATCGAAAAGGTATCGATCTTTTGTGCCATGCGAATATCAAAAAATGAAAAAAAAAATTGCATTTTTGTTCTAGCTTCTAAGTTCTATGAGATTACTTATTTCTACATATCTCAAAATTTTGTTCTGCGATTGGTTTGGATTGGATTTGGGTTGAAAATGTCATTTGTTGTTGTTGATATGAATCTGAATATTGTTAAAACAGTTTTAAAAAATTTACATTTAATTTAGTGAGTTTCCGGGGTAATAATAGTTTTCTATTTTCTACAATGGTAATTGTTTACCCATAATGCATTGTATACATTGTGCAGTATTATGCACAGTAGTGTAAAATTTAAATTCGGCTTAAACTGCATTAAAGAGACAATGAATAATTCAGTATACATGAAGTAGGTAGCTGGTTCACTCATTAATAAGAAAGATCTCATTAATATTCATGCTCTTATTAACATACCAGATACTGTAAATTACTTTTTTTTTCATTTGGAATTAATTATTAATTAATTATTTTCACTGAAGGAATGATTCAGTGAAAATAAAAAAACCTGTTATTCTATATATTTAACTCGTCTAAAATCAGTGAAAATAAATTCCATACAAAACACACAACATTTTTTTCAGTGAAAATTAATTCCAGCTAAAGTATTTTACAAGATAATTCAATTTTTTTTACAGTTACAAGAATAAAGCCAAAATAAATGCTGAAATGTTTTGGGTTGTGCTCTATATTATTTGTTTGTTACTGTATTTTTGTAAATAAATAATTTTTTTATTTAAATGGTCTAGCAAAAATAAATAATAAAATACACAAATTATTTCCCTTACATAAATAATTAAGTCAAATAAATACCAAAATAAAACTTGTCCTTCATATTATTTTGTTGGTAGTAATGTTCCTCAGAACTATCACCAATCGCTAAAGAGGTGTCAAAACACAATGATGGTGAGGATGGCAACTCCATTCGTTGGTCTATCAATAAAAAACAAAAAAACTTCACACCGGACGTCTGTGACATGGTGCATACCGACCAACCCAACATAAAGTGTAGATTTCAGTAAACAATAGTGCTGTTTGGTTGCTTTTTGTGCCAGACGTCACCATCTGACATAGAAGAACTTGGTGCCTGTGTGTTTTGATGTAAATGATATTGTCACCTATTTTAACATTACAAATATATCTTTATTTGTTGCTGTCTAATGGGTACTGTTTTAAAGTATAACAAGACTCGGCATACATATGAAATTATTAAATAATGATGTAACTCAAAGGAAGAGATGTTTACACAGCTTAGTAATAGATCCTTGTACTGTAACGGTGTGGGAGAAAACGCTTACAGTAGTTAAACCATCAGACACCAACAGCACATGTGGAAAAAGTCAGACCATGAATAACAAAAAGATAAGTTCACCCACAGTCAGGGAAGAATATATTTTACCTGCAGTGCATAATAATCATGTTCTGATACATCTCAGAAGTACCATGCATGATACATTAGTTATAGTGGTGAATCCTGAAAGTGTATTAATAATTCACCGAGTTTTAATTTCACTATTTTCATTGGTTAGTGAAATTGCAATAGAATTTCATTTTTAAAATTTGTAAATTTGAAACTCATGTGAATCTTTGCCAGCCAAGGTTCTTATATTCGGCCGTGCCTCACCATTATACCTTTGCAGTAATCCCACTCCAAGCCTTGACTTGGTTTAAAATTTATTCGAAATTGGTGCGAGTTGTAGTTACAGGCATGCTGATTGATGGATCCAAGTTCTTGGTTCACCCAATCACATCATTTGATTTAACTGAGGTTAAATAATCTTTTCCTAACACAATCATGCACAGGGACGGCCATGGATGGTCGGCTTCAGTGAAACGCTAATTGGACAATCAACATACATGTGAATATGCGCTAAACAGAATTATGAAATTAAATTTCAGTGAAAGTTAATTCTTTTACAGTAGGACCCTGCTCAAATAAAAAAAAAAATGGCTTGCTTTATTTGAACAGTACCCTCACATGTGACACCCCAGTTTACATTTGCTCTACATAAAGCACAATGATGATGTATGCATAGACAAAAGATTTTCTCATATCATTTACTTTTGTATTGTCAGATGTTCCTTGATGGGTTTTGATTTAAATCGGCACTGGCAGGAGCCATCACCTTGGGCACATCCTACATTACATGCCACTAAACAAATGCTTGTGGAATTGGACTCTGATCCGGTAAGTCTCTCTTCAACCCTTCAAACTCAATTCCTAACCTCAGCTCATGATTGCTATCCCCTAGTCAGGCCCTGTCTGATTAATATTGTTAATAATTTAACAAGTCCTCGTGTTTGATTTTTCCCAATCTTAAGTGGGGCTTTTTCTTGCTTGCAAGGGTGAGTATTGTCCAGTTTGTAGGGGTTTTGTCATATTTATTATCCTCGGGGGCGGACATCCGGGCATTTTCACCGCTTGGCAAAGGCCAAAAACTTGCAGAAAACGGTACTTTGGGATGCTTGTTGAGACTCCCCTGAACAGTGTAACAAGAATAGCCCTACGTGTGTAACATATATAAATTTGGTTGTTCAGGATTACTTCAAAGTTGAGTTTGTGTTGTTTTCTCAAATTTTCACCGGCTTGACCGGCGTTCCACATTAGCGCGCACAGAACCTATAGAAATGCATGTACAGTGGTGCGCGTCTTAGGGACGACGTCAAAAGATCGATGTCGAATAAAAAACTTATTTGCTTTAGTTTGGGGGTGGGGGGTTTTTGACCACAAAAAGTTTCCATCCTACAAAAACGATTTTATTTTTTAATGAAGTCAAAAAAACCTTGGAGTTTTTGTAGTTGTTTTTTTTTTATCCAATCATAGACAAAAATAACAGAAAATGAAAAAAACACATCCAAGACGAGAAAATGGTTTGGTCCGAGTGTAAATATGTGCGTCAAATGAGGTCCATTTCAGATCATAGACCTGGAGCATGCGCAGAACCCTGAAACGTATGTGTAAATTCCGCTTCATTATTACAACCAACTTCTATGCCATACTACTGTCCGATTATCAATTTTTATTTAATGGCTAATGTAGTCTGATGCCATGATCAATATTTATCAATTAAGTTTCAGTGGGGGGTTTTGAGAAAAAACTAAAAGAATTAAGTTTTTTATCCGACATCGATCTTTTGACGTCGTCCCTTAGCAACGTGGAACATCTCGTGACGTAGCTCTGCCCCGAGGATTGGTTCCAATTCGAGCTACTGGTGATTATTTTATTGCGGTTATTAATCTTCTTTCTACCATTTATATGAAACATTCACAGTGTGGATTGATATTTCTGTGCTTTGATATTCCAATATCAACAGATGTATTCAAAGAGCTACTTGTATCTGATGTGGTTCATGTTTTATAAAGACGAGTCATGATAGCAAAATTCGCTAGTGTCAAGATCAAGTTCATTATGAATTTCAGCTGCGGCAATGCAATGTTCTGTTTGGAATGGAATGCGCACTGCTTCAAATCTATAAACAAAATATGTTTGTTATCCAAATATGATCAAACAGGTCGGTGCATGGTATGGAAATTTACTGCACGCCCATCTTGTTTCAGAATTATGAGGTTGGGCATGATGAGGTATTTAAAAATACGCTTTTTACCAGCAAAAGTTTCGGACAATGATTGTAAGCTCCATAATAGCAGTATTAACGATATGTTACAATTACTAAGACTCTAAAGATGTTTAAGATGAAATGTTTTACTGAAAACCACATAGGATTGTCATATGTAATTTAATTGGAATGATAAGTCAAAAAAGTATTTTCACTAGATGTTATATTGTCTGATTTACCTATTCAGTAATAACAGTGACATAAATAAATTCAAAGTGAAATGAAAGGATTTTATTTCTTAACCATTCTGTCACCAAAATTGTTGTTAAAATGCTACTATAATATTTCGCTTCAAATTGTTTGTATATTTATGGATAAAAGTAATTCAAAGTAGCATAGTCGGTACTCTGTTCAAGTTAGAATGTCATGTAAAGCAATGACGTATTTTACATGTACACATCACATGGGACCCGTATCAAATACGATGCTGTGCGATGACTATGGCACTTTAATATTCGAGTGTGCCGACAAACGTTCAAAATACGAGTGATCTATTCCGGGATGTACGTGTACAGTATTGAAATGTGACAATTTAATTTTAAGTATATAAATAAGAATTCATAGCAGCGTGCCACTTGTATAATTTGTCTAATAATTGAATCTATAATATTGTCTATAATATGTTGAGATGTTCTGTTGCAAAGCTGTAACTTAACCTTATTAGCCTGCTTTTATCATGATTTTTCAGAAATAAATGAAATCCAATTCACTGTAATATTTGTATTATATTTGTCTTTTGAGAATTTGCTCATAAACTATTATGGTATCACATCTGTTGTGAAGAATTAAATCCAAATTTATGTCATGCCTCTGTGCAAAATCGCAAGATTAAAATATGTCCTGTAAACCACTGAAATGAAATTCCATATTAGCAAATAAAATGCATTGCTTGATTTAACATGTACCATATTTTCTCTATTAGTAGCACATGTACTATATGTAAAAATATGACAGAACCCATGGCCCTGCCCTGACATTTGTGGGGTATGGAAATTCACGAGTGAAAATACAGCATGGTTATTCGTTAACCTGATGTTCTATTACATTCATACGCAAATATGTTCAGACGCACGCTCACTCAGAGCATTAGCAACGAAAGTATCAAACAATAAATGTTTATCAAAATAAAACAATACACCATAATCCACCATTATTGCGTGAGATATTGTGACCCTATTTAAAGGTATTGTAACATCAATTTAAAAAAAAACACATGTATTTGAAATACTTGAGGACCGGGCATCCAGAGGTTTGACTTATGTGATTTACATATCAGTCATTAAATAACATGTTAATTTGCATATCGCCGGTGAAAATACCAGCCGATCTACTCATCACAACTATCTCAAATTTACAGATTCACTGTTGTAAAACCATGATCAGCTGATGTTTGCATTACATCTGCCTTTTGTGAAGATTTAAATCCAAATTTATGTCTTGTCTGTCTAAAATCCTGTGGTTTACCCAAGATTAAAATATGTCTTGTAAAGCACTGAAATGAAATGCAATTTTAGCAAATAACACACAATGCTTGATTTAACATGTACCATATTTTCTCTATTAGTAGCACATGTACTATATGTAAATGATACATGTGTTTCTGGTTAAAAAAAGTCAATGATATTTAAATGATCCATCATACAAACAATGCAATGACAACATTTATTATTATTAAATAGAATAGATTTTTCACTGCATCATGAGTTTTATAGATTTACTATACCTCTCAGCAAATTCACATGTATAAATAAAAAAAAATGCCCATAGCCGGCAATAATTTAAATTTTTTTTGTATTGTTCACAGAAAAGTGATTTAGATTTTTATATTGATGTGCATGCCCACTCTACTCTTATGAATGGGTTCATGTATGGTAATGTGTACGATGACATGGAACGCTATGAAAGACAAGCTATATTCCCAAAACTACTTTGTGCAAATGCTGATGACTTTTCTATGGTAAGTAGCTTGTCTTTTGTCATCTATCAAAGATTACTTTGAGATCATTGTCTGACTACCATGGGGAGTACGCTAAGTACGAAGAAGCCTATGTTGAAGAGTGGTTCTTTTATTTGGCTGATATTTAGATGATTCTTGATGTCAACGATTAAAATGCAGAGATAACAAAAGATTCTCTCTTATTATATGATGACAGGTCTTTTGAAAGAAATATATTCAGTGTATTCCTGCTAAGTACTTGTATTTTGGAATCTGCATGCAAACAGAATGTCCTCTGTGGGAGTGTCTATATCTTCAATGTTCGGTCAAACTTTAAACAAATATTATTTCACTTTTGAATGTTGCTGCTCTCTGTATATCCTCAAATTCTTAATATCATTAAATCATTCTGTTGAGTAAAAGTTTTGAAAATGTCAAAATGAAAAATGTTGATTTAAAGGCTACCGGTAATATCAATTAGTGTGAACAAAATGAAAATCAAAACACATACACTGTGCTCATATTACCTTCTTGTTATAAATGTAATTGTTCTGAAAAGAAGAAAAAATATAATTATTATGTTTGAAATTTTACGTAGAAGAGCAACATTATTTTTGAAAATTATCTGCAGTTTAATAAATGCATTCTGTTTGTCATAGGGTAATACATCTTTTAATCGTGATGCAGTGAAAGCCGGAACAGCTCGTCGTTTCCTGGGTGGCATACTTGATGAGAGCTCTCATTGTTATACACTAGAAGTATCTTTTTTTTGTTATACAACAAGTACGACAAGTGCTCTACTGCCATACACTGAAGAAGGCTGTATCCTTTTGTTGTGCAAATTTACCATTCTCTTCCAAAAGCATATTTTCAAATCCTCATACAGCGTC